CCGTGTCCGCTTCCCGTCAGGACGCCTACGGGCTCTGGAGACCCAGCGACTCTGACTCTGATCGGCCCCGCCAGACAATGGCTACCACTCAGCGCCACAACGTAGACCACCCTGCCGCCACAGAGAGTGCCAGGAAACACCGCAGCTCTCGACGAGCTGATCCCCTAGATCCTGCGCATTCTCACCACAAGTCATCTAGCAAAGACAGAACATCTGCAACCCCACAGTCATACCATACCGTCCCGCAATCACCGCAGCCCTCGACGACGTCCCGAACGCACGACGTCTACTCGGACGCGTACGGGCTTCGCGCGTACCTCAAGAAGAAGACTGACAAACGTAGCCCCCGGTCCTCGAACGAGAAGGTTCCTGCCCCCGACGACACGCAGACATCCCGCGCCGTGTACCCTTCTCGCGCTGAATACACTACTCCAGCAACATATGCTCAACCAACCGCAGCCGCATATGCCCAACCACCCACATCCACAAGTTATTACACGGCCCCACCAGACCAAACCACTCGCGATCCTGAAACGTCCTCTCGCCACCACCGCGACCGCGACCGAGATAGAGAGAAGTCGAACAGACGCGACGCAGAGAAGGTCAGCATGCGTGATTACGCATCAGAAAGAAGTGAGGACCGGGAGAGGAGACGGCGCAGGGAGAAAGAGGCTGGGAAGGAGAGGGAGCGTAGCTCCAAAGACCGAGACAGGCATAAGGAGAAAGATAGGTCCAGACACAGGGAACGCACGGCACCCGACGCGACTAGCCTCAACCAAGCGTACACCCAAGCACCAGCACCTGCTCAACGATCTTCAGACAGGCTACCCGCTGGATACTCAGTACGTATGTCTGATTTTCCGGGCATGCGAAGAGTCTGACGTCCGCTAGGATCAGAGTCGTTTGCAGCAAGCACAAGCAGTGCAAGTGGCGGCTCCTACCACCGCTACTGTCCTTCCGTGGTCTGGTCTCACCGCGACTGGACGAGCAGCGCCCCCCTCTAACCATGTGGTCGACGCCGGATATCCCTCCGCTTCTGACAGGGAGGATCCTCCGCTCCCTATTCCTCCCCCTGGACATAGACGCGAAAGGTCCTCATCGAAGGCTCGTGGAAGCCAGCGACACCAAGTCCTCGCGCAGCAAGCCGCTCAGGATTCCGGCATTTCTAGTAGCGAGCAGGAGCATTCCATCATGGAACGAGTGAGTGCGCTGACGCGCTTAATTTGGGATGCATGACTAAATTGGTCCCTTTACATAGACTAGAATGACCGATAGGCGCATCCTCAGTCGAGAGCAGGCCAGCACTTTGGGACGTGGGCAATCCTCGGGGCCGTCCGGGAGCGAGAATGAGAAGCCTTCTACCTTCCAGAAAGAGCGCGTAAGTGTGAACCACATTGACAACTGTCTTTGATGCTGATTTACCGACAATAGCGAAAGCATAAGGAATCTTCCCGCCACAAGTCAAAGACTGCTGCTATCGAAGGCGAACCTCCCGGACCTACCACAAGTCAAGAGATTGCTACGGCATGGTATCAAAGGGTAAGCCCTCTAACTTAGACGTTCACCGCAGCGGGACTAAACTGCTACACAGCTTCGAGAGACCACAGGCGCAAAACAATCTGCCGCTGTAGCTGATTCGCCGCAGCGTGCGCCGACCATGTTTCCTAACGATATCACGTCCACGCAGCCTGGTGTGCCTTATGCAGGCAAGCCCACCTCTCACGTAGGTCAAGTTATATCTCAACGTCCTACGCCTCAAATAGTCAGCATTCGAGCTGCGCAGGGCCCCTCTGAGCCACACGCGGGCACCTTGCTACCGAAGAATCATAGCGCGACATCTGTACACCGCCAGGTGGACGGACAAGCGTTGGATCGCGCACACGACACCGCCTCCCGTTCGCAACCCTCGGCGCAGTACTATCAGCAGTCAGCTGGCCGATACCAGGACACCACGCCGCAGACGGCCGCTGGGCAGGCGTACACCTCCACGCACGTAGACGGTTCTCGGGCCTACCAACATTCCTCTGTCAATCCGGGCGTCAACGGTTCATATCAGCAGTCAGGGCAAGGCTATCTCAACCCAGTATCGCACACACGACATGCGGAGTCCAACGGGGTGCCTTCTTCAGCAGCTCATGGAGGTCAGCAGGCTGCACTACCGGACGTAGTGGTGCGGCCTCCATCCGCTGCTCCCACGCAGCAGGATCCGTACTCTTCACGGACTACTGTGGGTACCTCTCTGCATCACTCTGGCGCGGTTTCTGGACAGCGTTTGCAGGCACCATCACACGAGTCGCGAGCACGACCGACTCCAGCACCCCCAAACGTCACCAATCACCCGCACTCCAGCTTTCCCGCTACTCAGCAGACGTCACATTCACACTCACATCCCTCCGCGCAGCACCCTGATTCGGATCCCTACCGCTCCGCCGCGGGGAACGCAAACGGGTCTCAGCAGTACGGTGCCTCGGACCCCACTCGCAATGCTGGTTCCACGCCTTATGCCTCCGCTCACCCGAGAGACCCGTCTTCCAGGTTCTCAGTGTACGAAGATGCCGCGAGTAACCCTGCACCTGTGGGATATGGCAGCCAGCACACCGCAGTAGCGTACAACACGCCTGGGCAAAGCGCTACCCCGAGAACCATCGCGTCGACAATACAGGCGTACCCGTCCGCGTCGCCGAAGCGGAATTTGACCTATCCGGGTGCCTCAGCACCTCCGCCAGCACCCTCTGTCCACGTCAACCCTTCGAACTACCATGATGCCCGTTCGCCGAAGCCCCCGTCAGTCGCCACGATTACGCCCGATACGGCGGGAAGTCGACCTCAAGGCCACGGCAGGGAAGCGTCCGGTCAGGGCGCACACCATCAGCCTTCCCCGCGCTATGACCAGTCAGCAGCCCAACTTGCCGCAGATGCTGGCCATGCATATGCGGCTGGGTCTAACTCTGGTCACTCACCTTCCAGACACTACCTCGCGGATCCTGGCCGTTCTCCTGCGGGTGGCCACGCTGGTTTCGCCGGTTCTGCGGCGGGAACACCGAAACATTCCCCATCTAGTCGCCTCCACTCGCATCGCAACGGCTCGAACGACACGATTACTCACGCTGCCCCTACGAAACCCTCTCCCGCTAGTACTTTCCAGCAACAGCTCCCGCATCGTAACAGTGTAATCAACTTGCAAACTCACGCCGCATCACGACCCGATAACGCCTCTGCTACTCGTCAGCCTAACGCCGCGTCTGGATACCCTGAGCCTGCTAGATACCGTTCGCCTGCCCCGCCAGGATACCCGAGTACTCAGCCTCAATCTGCCCCTAATGGAAACGCTACCAACTATTCTCAATCGTACAACCTACAGAATTCGACAGCTTACGACTATCAGTACGGCCGCAACACCGCTACCCAGCCCCGTTCCGCTCAGCCCGCCGACTACGCGCAGCGCTCTCAAGAGCCCCCTCATTCGGCTCCCCCCACTACCACCACAATGCCAATCCCCAGTCAGCGCATCCCGCCGCGCGCGGCTCCGTCGCCCGCACCGACCGTGAAGCCCCAGCGACTTGCGGCCGTCTCGTCGCCCACCGGGAAGGCTCCTGTTCCTTTGCAGTCCGCTCCTCCACAGCCCACTCGGCACCAGACGTACCCTGCCCCCGCCCCGAATCATACTACGGCTCCCTTCCCGCCGGCCCACTCGCGCACCGTGTCTGACCCGCAGTATCCGGGTAAGGCCGGAGTTCCAGCGTACGCCTCTGCCACATTGCCTTCAAGAGGGCACGCCGCATCGAGGAGCGCCTCGCTCCAGCCTCCGGATGTACTCTTGACGCCGTCATCGCTAGCTCCCTCTATGCTTCCGCAAGTCTCTCCGCAGGTCCCTCTGGAGCGCACGACCTCCAAGTCGTCGACGAAGGACCCGAAGAAGAAGGGCCTGCTGGTCCGTGGGCTGAGCCTCTTCCGTTCGCGATCGTCGCCACCCAAGCAGCGGGAAGTCGAACCCCCTCCCTCCGCCGCGATCAGAGAGAAGCGCCAGCGCAACGTCTCGCAGCCGACTCAGCCCATGGCGCACATGCAGGCTTCTCAAATGCCCATGAAGCCTACGTCTGGGGCGCCCCCTCCTCAGATGGCGGTCGCCGCTGTGTCGATCCCTGCGCCCCCTGCGGATCCTCGCCGGGACAACGGCGCGGCCCGTGTCCCCGTCGCCGCGCCGACGCCTGTGCATGCAGCGGGAAGACGCAGCCCGACCGGGAAAATGTTCACGCCTTTCCGACTTCTGTCGCGACGCCATCACACCGTGTCCACTGCTTCCGTGGATGCAGTTGACGGCACCGTGGTATGTCACCCACGCTATTGCTCCCTTGTGTACAGAGACTGATGGGCGATTTCAGATTACCGCGATGCTGACGGGCGGAGAGTCGACGCGAAGCTCGACGGCAGGCCGTCCCTCACCTCCCCTCCGCGACCCCATGACTGCAGCGCAGGAGTGGCGCAACAAGGAAGAGTACGAGCAGCAGGGGCGTGGTCAGCAGCGCCGCCGCCGACCGGGGGTGACGTTCGATGTTGGAGACCAGGTGCCGGAGGACCGGACCCCGGTGCAGAAGTCGATGAAGGCGAACATCGCCGCCATGCAGGCCGCGGCTGCTGCGACGCCGCCGACGCCTGCGAGACAAGCAACTGCGTGAGCAACATCTGGCGAGAAGTACGAACTTCAGGGACCCGCGTTGGCGGGACTGGAAGGCGGGGAGACACTCTTCGTTATGATCATGACCCTAATATGCCTGGGATAGAGTCGCCGTGTTATCTATGCATGCACCTGCTATGTAAATGTATCTCTATATCGTCGTTACAGTTGTCGCTAGTGCAGGATGTAATGTATTGGTAGTGTATAATGTTCAATCCAGTTACTGAGTCTTCCAGCCCCTTGAAACCTTATTACTAGGTTTTGTTACTGTACAGAAAGTGACTTACTGCCAAAACCTGAAATGGTGGTGGAGCCAAAACAATATGGTTCGATGGTGTAGTTGGTTATCACGTCTGTCTCACACGTGAATGCTTAGTCAGTAGTGATCACAGGAGGTCTCCGGTTCGAGCCCGGGTCGAACCAGTTTTTGGTTATTTATTTATTCTCATTTAGCTCATTAACCAGCCCGCTCAAAAGTCCTGCACGCAGGTTAGAGTTAGTCCTCTATGTATCAGCCTGTACCGCCTGCCCAATGTCGGACTCCATACAAGACTGTACACCTCCGAAAATTTCCAGAAGGTGCTGTTGACTCTGTAGTCATATATCGCGGAGTTCTACAATATTTTATGAGGTTGTTGAAGCATAATAAAGGGGCCGGCGGGACCTCGGCGCTACCAAATCAAATCTCGCTGATATTCTCCCCTGTGCTGGTGAGAGGACAGCTAAGTTCAAAAAGCACCTGAAGCCCTCTTGACGTTCGGTCTTTCAACGGGGATTCTCGTGAAAGTTTGACATGGCTTGCAAGGCCCAGTATTAGTCTTGTCCATCGAACGAGTTTTCAAAAGATATGGTGCCCATAGCGTGGTTCAGAGAGCTACACTAGTACTCACTGCGTAAAGTGCAAAATTGCACGCACCAATTACCTCGAGGTAATACAGGATTGCCCCAAATAACCCCGGGTCTACCTGGAGTAGCACACGCATAACAAGGAGGTGATGCAGAATAGCCCGAGCGCTGTAATCTTTGCATTACCTCCTCATTAGCCAGTGTGTAATATCAGATAACCAGGCGATAATCCCACATTACGCGCATCCCGGATTACGCGCGCGTCAGACGTCGTGTTTCCCTTGTACACGGACATTTCCTTTGACATTACATTATCGTTCTCCTTGGGTAATGGAATGCGATGATCGCAAAGCTCTGGCTGAGGGTCTCCTGATTCACCGCATAAATACCAGGCGTACATGAGCACCCTCCTTCTCGTACTCTCATCTCCAAGTCTTCCGAGCCGCCTGTGTCCTCCCCCCTATGGGCCCTACCTGAGAATTTGGCGCATTGAGTTCCTTCTCAATGATGACTGTGAGTTAGACCATCTCTCTCTCTCTCTCTCTCTCTCTCTCTCTCTCTCTCTCTCTCTCTCTCTCTCTCTCTCTCCGGGTTCTGGATCTCATACCTCTGCGGACAGGTGGGTCGGTCTTCACATATGTGTACGGTCCCACTGGCAGCCGTGCCTGCGCCCGTGCCGTAGTGCATCATCGCTGCTCATACATACATATGCTTGGGTGAGTACTGTGTGCTCTAGTGTGAATGAGTAAGTGATTCAAGCTGTAGTACAGATCCGCTGACCAACTTAGTACATGTTACCTGAACTCCTTACTGATGCACGCCCCCCCGGCTCTCCCAGTATACCTACTACGTCTCCATTCCGGCGTGCAATTGTCTGTCCAAGTACATAATATATATCGACCACATATGTAGTGCCGCTTCAATATATCTCTGGCCAGCAGTATATTCTAGTATATCCATATGAAGGAGCGCCTGCCACCACCGCATGTCGACGGTTTACACCCAATGTACACATGCATGAAATGGCGGATTTCCGAGGGACTATCACGGATAATCGCAACGTTACCTGTCTGTAATCTGACGAAGACTCGAACATTGCTGCAGTGGTTATTATCAAGTGACACCGGGGCAATGGGGTAGGCAATTCGACGTGATTACCACCGTGATTACTACTGCGAATACCCAACGGAATTTCACGTTGCCTCGGGGGCTTACGCGGGATTTCGATCCGTGGCTATGGAGCGTGCAATCCAACATAACCGGGGTAATTTCACGCAATGGAAACTTGGCCGTTTACGCAGTGACTGGCGCTCAAAAGTCTTGCACGGGAGCATCAATCATGAATGCATGAATGATGAAAGGCCCGAGAGCGTGTGTAGAGTCACTGTTCCACGCCGTTGTAGAATGCGACCGCTGGTGAACGTTAACGTTTGAACGTCGAACCAAAATTAGGACAGTTCCCGCGGCCTCCTACTATATGACGCGATATCTCCGTAGCCGGAGACGTTCGCACAGTGCGAAAGCGACCCGTGTCTAAATTGGATAACCCACAGAGATCACCAGCACAAGCCCCTTGACCGGACGGCCGGACGACCGTAGCAATGAACTTGAGAAACATTGGTGATCATGTCCAGCGAGAAACTTGCACGGGCTTTAGTACCACAAATAGCATCTCGGATACGAAAGCGCTGCGCGGCGGTACATGTTATGTCAAAAACAAGCCTGCTCAAGACCGCTTAGAGAATGTGACGAGCTTAAAGCCGTAGAGGACAGGGCAAGCCGCAACGCTGGATGATGGTGTAAATATATGTCTGATAGTATGAAACGGAATGCTGCGCTGTACTAGGCGCCCAGCGGGCAGAGGTACTGCGGCGCCGTGTCCGGAGATCGCGCCCCAGCTTCTCTCTTCTGTCCGTTCCCTCCTCTCTCCCATCCGCTCTCTCCTTGCCCCAGCACCTTACTGAGCGTAGCCTTTGGGGCTCGACACCGTCTCACAAGATGATGACGCCTATGCGTTACGTGGTATTGGTGCTGGGCATCATTGTAAACGAGTCCATACAGCTTTCCTACAACCTCTCTGACTCTGGCCACGTAGATCAGCTTGCATTTCCTCCTAAGCTTTTCGCACGAGGAGTACGGTCGCGCAACCTCCCTGTCTAGTATATCCGAACACCTCGTCGGCACGAAGCCTCACCCTCCATACCAGGACGGCGTTCCGGAGGAATACTACAACGACCCTACGGTGGCTTCGCCCAAGGGCAGGCGGGCGAACGCTACCTTCGTTTTCTTGGCTCGCAATGGCGATCTCAACGGAGTAGTTATGAGTATGAAGCAAGTCGGTGAGTGCACTCTGGCTTCTTGGCCTGGTCGCGTCTCATGTATACCCCTGCCCAGAGGACCGGTTCAACAAGGAGTTCCAATATCCTTACGTGTTCTTGAACGAGGAGCCCTTCTCAGATGAATTCAAGGAGTGCGTTACCGTTGCTTTTTTCCCATCGACCCCGGCCTAATAAATGACGTATGTAGCCGCGTCCAAACGCTCACCGACTCAAAGATAGAGTTCGGCCTTATTCCTAAGGAAGATTGGATCCAGCCAACCTGGATAGACGAGGAACGCGCGACTGCTGCACGGAAGGATATGGTCCAAAACAACGTCATCTACGGTGGCAGCGTCCCATACCGCAACATGTGTCGCTTCAACTCCGGTGTAAGCGAAAGCTCTTGCCTGACTTGGTAGGTGCAAAGTGCTAACATATGCGCAGTTCTTCTACAGGCATGAGCTGCTTGCGAAGTACAAGTACTACTGGCGTGTAGAGTAAGTTGAAATTCCGTCGTTGCACGATATATTGCTGACATGGACGCAGGCCTGACGTTAACTTCTTTTGCGACTTGCACTACGATGTATGCGTGTCTCTGATTGGTCCTTCGAAAACATTAGAGCTGACGCTCTCTGTTCCATAGCCTCTTCTTCTGATGCAAGACCAGAAGAAGGTTTACGGTTAGTAACACGACAACGAAAGAAGACACCCCGTTGACAATCATTCATTGCCGTAGGTTTCACCGTCTCGCTGTACGAGTACCCCGCCACAATCCCTACACTCTGGGATGCAGTGAAAGGTCAGGCTTCTCGACCTAGACCACGTCCGCGGCTCCTTACAAATCTCTGTAGAATTCGTCGACACCAACCCCGATCTCGTTGCGCATGACAACGCGATGAGCTTCGTGTCTGATGACGGCGGCAAAAGCTACAACAACTGTCATTGTATGTTTTCGCAGCAGCGCGAGGTGGCCATGTCTCTGACAGATTCGCCTCGATAGTCTGGAGCAACTTTGAAATTGGCGACCTCGACTTCTGGCGTGGTGAGGCCTACACGAAGTTCTTTGACTTCCTCGACAAGAAGGGCGGTTTCTACTACGAGGTACAGGAACATCGCTCTAACACATAGCCCGATCAAATTTGACTGTTCCATATAGCGTTGGGGAGATGCGCCAGTACATAGCATCGGTGCCGCATTGTTTGCGAAGAAGGACCAGATCCACTTCTTCAACGACATCGGTACGTATTTCCGCCCCATTGGCTGTCACCCTACCGTCACTCACTGGTCGCCCACCCACAGGATACCGGCACAACCCCTTCCAGCACTGCCCTCAGGGCGAAGCACACAAGAAGGGCAAGTGCTGGTGCAATCCCCAGGATAACTTCGGTGAGCATCGCCGTCGATGCGTTTGTTCCATCCGGCGCTGACATTACGCTATTACTACAGATTATGAGTGGTACAGTTGCCTCAAGCGCTACGACGCGCTGTTTGCATGAGCTATCCGTCTCCGCCCTCCTGTATCCCTTCCCCATGCATTATTTATACCGTATTCCCCGCCACCGTTACTGCAGTGTGCGCAATAAGGTATAGTCATTCCTGGTGCCACGCTGGCCAGGTTGCCTCAAAGTCCTGCTTGTACGTGCTGAGATAACATAATGGTACTTGTGGGCACATCATAAAATGGACTGCGAATAATACTGGAACTGTTTTGGGACATGATGATGTTAACGATATGTCAACGAGGAACACTGTAGACAGAAACTTACCGAGTCATACAGCCTCGTCCAGTTGGACCCGAGAGATGCGTCAATGAGCCTCTGGACATGCTCCTCAACCGCGGCCTGGGTGAGCCCTTGCTGGAACCGATCCCGCAGGAGCGACGCCGTCTGCTCGCCAAACGCCGTAAAGCACGGCAACCCCGAGTCTTTCTGCATAAGCTCCACGAGCGCTGTATACCCGCACACATCAGACATCCTAGGTCCAGACTGAACGACGTGTATAAAGTACTCACTGACGATGCGGTCGCAATGTTTGCGCGCGGCGTCGAAGCCCTCGCGGAAGAGCTTGCGGAACTCGCGGTACGCGGGGCTGTCGAGCCCGCCGAGGACCTCGATGTACTCCAGCGGGAGCTTGAACGGCGCGGCCTCGAAGCCAATGTTGCCCGGCGAGTTCGCGAGCATGAACCCGAAGTCGATGTGAATGAGGTGCCCGTCGCGGTCGAGCAGGATGTTCCCGTTGTGCCGGTCCTTGATCTGCAGC